ACACCCCCGGGCACCTCTGAGAGGCAAAACTTCCCCTCTTGCAAGCACAGAGTCTGAGTGTAAGATAGAAACTTTTAATAAAAGGATTAATTTGGGAAAACGTCACAAACAGGGTTCATAAACATAAATCCTGAGGAACAGATCCACCCCCAAGTAAGTTGGGCAGTGGCCTTTTCCCCTCAGGTTCTTAAGTCCAGCAGCCCAAAAGTCCCTTTAGCGTGCCCATCCCTTCTCTGCGCCCCACTCACAGCTGCTGCCCTTGGTCAGGGCAGACCCAGAGTTCAAAGGTGCGTCTGCAGAGTTCAAGGAGGCACCTTACTCACTCCGGTGCTCAGGCACTCGTCCATCGCCCCTCTCCACCAGCCGAACCGCTGCCCGCTCGCTGCGCCTCTCCGCTAGCCACCCTGCTGGCTGCTCACCAGCCACTCATTCACCCGCTGACTGTCTGTCATCTTCTGCTACCCCCGCCCCAATCTCTGCACATCAGTCTCTTATTAATTTTCAGCTCTTTGCAGGCTGGGCGGAGACACTGCCCCATCTCAAGTGATTTCAGCGCTCAGTGATGGAGCATTTAAAATAACAAAAGAAGATCCCAATGAAGCCTACTTAGCTCTTTCTTTGAACAGTGGGGAGGAACAGGTCAAACCAGACTTGGGACTCCTCGGGAGAGTCCACACCTCTTCTCTGGGATATCTGTCCCTACGCCTCTTACTTTCACAGGGCTCTGGCAGCCGGAGCTCTGGCTTAACGAGGTCCTTTCAGCTGACGGTGACCCCACACTCTTTTGGGACAGGTTGAGCACAGTCCTGCTTCCCTGTATTCCTATACTAATTACAACATTTTGGTAACAGCATTTCACTGCCCCTGCATTCAGCACTAAAGTGATTTGCACCCAACACCAGCCAAAATGTACAACTTTGACACCGCTCTATCCGCTTAATATCTAAGCAGAGCAGGAGCAAACTGTATTTACATAAACACACCCAAAGTCTCTCCCCCTCCCAGCTAGCTGTCAGACCCTGCTTCCACAGGAATTCTAGTGTCTGGTCAGGGGACAGTTGCCCTTCTTGACTGGACATTCTGGTCAAAAACTGGACACCAGGCAACCCTGTCATCACCTGGCAGCCCTGCCGCAGGCACCCCGCAGTAACCTGGTGCCCCTCACAGGCACCCCCCACCCGGGAACGATGCAGGGGCCACCAGTGCTGGGCAGAGGGACACACTTGTGCCAGGCCTGGCTATTACCTATGTTTGGTCCAGATCACGGCATTGTCCAGCTGGAAACAGAGTGTCACCGCCCAGCCCCAGCCCCTGGGGGGCAGCAGGGCCGATACTCCAGGGGGTCCAACAGCCATGAATCATGGGGTGCGGCGGCTCGGAGCAGGAACAGCCATGAACCCTCCTGCCACCTGGCAACCACCTCCTCTTGGGGCCGGCCCCTTCTCCTCGCCCACCCCCGGCAGCTCTGCTTTGCCCTCTGCCACCTGCCGGAGACGCTGGGCTCCTCTGGCCCTGGGCGGGGACCGTCACCGGACACCGCCCCACCAGCAGGGAGTCTGGGGCCGGCTCCTGGCACAGGACTCCTCATCGCTGTCCCTTTCCCAGGTGTACATGGCAGTGCCGGGTGCCTTGTGGCTAGGAGGGGCCTGCCCGGGGTAGGGGCTGTGACTCACGCTTTTCAGGGGGGCAGCTGAACCTCTAAATTGTGCCCCCCACTAGCAACATATCCAG